GGTCTGTGCTGTGTCACCTACCGGTTGTATATGAATCTGCAACAGTTATAAGCAGTGCCCCTGTTTGGTTGCAACAGTTATGTTCATTAACGGAAAAGCAAGACTCATTCATTCACATATTGTAAATTATGACAAAGACAAATTCCTGCTTATGATTATCTTCCAAATCCTTGTATGAATAGTTTGCATTATTATTATTGTTGTTATGTTGTTTATTACCTGCTATCTCACTTTGTAATAATTATTATTTATTTGAGTGATTTTCTTAAAATAAGTCATGAAAGGCTAGTTCTTATGCAAAATAAAGTGCTGTGTGCTAGTTCCATTGAGAACTGTGTTTCCTGTCTGGTTTGTTCAGAGAATTACAGTAGCACATTTTTTGGACCTGCTTGCTGGCTGCACTATTCCCTGGTTCTGGGGAAATATGAAAAAAGAGCTAGGTTTGAGACCCACAAATGCCTTTGTAAAGACAACACTTGGAAGCAGGACAGGCAGAGGGGTTAATACCTGCATGGATGAAGTAGGACAGGCAGAAAGGTTGATAATGGGAGATGGAGGTGCAAGCAGAAAAGTCAAAGCTGTCTGGGAGGACAAGCACTTCTGGAGGCTAGCTCAGATGGGGTCTACGTAGCCGTTTGCTTGGTCCCAGTCTTGATAACATTCTTTGCTGGTAGACCCTCATTCCTGGTGGCATTTTGCCACAAACTAATTAAATATTTTCCTCTGTTACAACATCCTTTTGTTTTCCTTAATCCTTGATTCTACTTCTCTAATCCCTATTTATTCACTCTATATAGCTAACAATTTGTTTCCCTGCTCCCTATTTCTAACTTATTTTGCATAGTGCCCTTACTATGTCTTGCTCATTGAAGACAGATTGGTGTTGTTGAAATTCTTTGTATGCTGGCAACCCCCTGTTGACTGACTGAAATTATTTGTATGTCTTCTCAATTTATAGGGCTGCTCTGTGTTTATGTGGACTATGGTAATAATAATAAAAAAAAATTCTGATAATTACACATGTGAATCAATGCATGCCTATTTAACACGGATAATTATGCACAATAAATAAGAAATATGTGTAAGTGTAAATCAAAAAAGATTAACATTAAATGCATGAGCCTAGAACAAAGAACTGTAATACTGTCTCCTATATTTAAATAAATGTTAAGTTATTTTATGGCTTAGAAATGATCTGAAAGATCACCTTAAAGCATAAAATGCTAATAAACTAATGTAAAAGCATGTAAAATAAACAATCCACATATAACATAACAGCATAAGAAGATGTGTGTGTGTGTGTGTGTATATATATACATATATACACACACACACACAATATATATATATATATATATATATATATATATATATATATACATACACATACATGTACCTGACATCGTCAGTCAATTTTTCTGTTTCTTCCCATCATGTTAGTTTTCTTTTTGACTTTTTTTCTATAGCAGTTCAGTTTTATTTATACTAGTGGTCTGTTGCTTGAGATAACTGCTGTTTTATTGACATTATCTGATAATCCAGAGTGTCAGTATTGCTCTACACTTTTCATCCTTCAAAACCATCACCTACCGAAGATAATTCCACATATTGGAGTGAAATATAAATCAATAGGCTGGTTCAACAAAATTTCAACTGCTGCTCAGATATAAATGCGTTCTCATCTGGGACACTGTGAAAATTGCATTGATATTTGTAGTTCATACTGTTACAGAACCATGGACATGAACATGAGAAAACTCATAAAATAACGTAACGTGCATTGAAACAGGATTTTGTTCATATCTTTATTATAGTACACCCCACTCTTTGACCTTTCTTCCATAACTTAAAACTGTGATTGAGGGAGTTCTGCAATTATTGTCAGTACTCATGATTAGATCACCAATTATTGAAACATGAAGCATATTTGTGGTTTAAAACACTAATTGTGTCACTAAGAACACGAGTGGTGACAATACGCATGTGCATTTAGAAAACAAAACACGTGTTCAGGAGGTACCATGGCGTTATATTAGCAATAGATATTGCATACATAACTACATCTAGCTATAAAATACAATTGACAATGGAGAACATTCTACATATATTAACACACAAGCATATGTGTACATGGCATATTCAATACCATATTGTTTAGCTGTGATTACAAAACACTTCTTTACTAGCAGATGTAAATTAATACTAGGTCATTAACATAAAAAAAAAGTCAGTAAGCTCGAGAACTCATATATTGTCATGTTTTGGTTAGGAAGGGATGCTGACCACACCAGCAACCACCAGAAGCAGGAAACCAATATGTAAATAAACCACAGTACACAAAGTTAAAAATGGAAAATAAATGTATTAGTTACAAGAACATAAATGGATAACATAAATGTCAAACAAGAGATCAGGGAAACTCAATATATGGAAACTGGCAGGCCTGTGAGACTCGTGCCTTTGGGATACTGGAGGCAAGGGAACATTGCTTTTGGCCTTCTGAATACTGGGTGCAAGTAAGCAGGACCACTGGCCTTCTTTACCCAGGGCACGAGGCCTCCAGGAGCAGCACACAACGAACAAATCCATTGAACTGGTCTTGAAAAAGGGGAAAGACTAGACAACAAAGGCAGAATCTCTTCAGTCTGGGAGCAGCAACCTGCAAGAACACCACAGAGAGGGATTAAAAAACAGTGTTATACATAGAATAGTCACATTCATATGATTGAGCTTGGAATGCAGTCTTTAAAATGTTACTCCTGTCCCCAAAAATAGTGTTTTATTAAACATTGTTTTTTTTTTTTGTTCCTTGGATTAACCCTTGCTATCAATGCCCCCCTCCCCACCACCCCCTCTCCAATCAAAACAAAGAAGAGAAAAGTTTAATTTGTAATCCTGTAAATTTCTTACTGTAGCTTAACCCTCCTTCTGTGACCTTACTCTCCCTCACTGCAAAGTGAGGAATGTAATAAAGGCAGGACTAAGGGATGGCTTATGGTGAAACAAAGAAGAAGGATTTAAAAATTTGGAGATCCCAAAAACTAATAAACTAGGTATCCAAAATATCTCAATGTAGACTGTTACATGTGTTATATAAAAGTAGAATAAAATAAAACATGTTACTTTGTATGTCGATTGAATATAAGAATGCAAAGTTTCAGATGCTCAGATAGTCATGTCTGACAACATTGTTGACTATTGGCTGAATATTATAAAACATTTCCAATGATTTAAAGAATGAATTGTTATCTTGTCATATTTCATAGTACTGATCATAGTACTGCCTCTTCTCCCCAATCCCTCTCTGTTGGTGTTCCCCAAAGGTCTTGGTCCCTATTGTTCTCAGTCTACACTGCCTCCCTTGGTAAACTAATCAGCTCCTTCGGCTTTCAGGATCATTTCTATGTGGATGACACAAATTTATCTGTCCTCCCCTGATTTCTCACCACCCCTCTTGACTCGTGTCTCTGACTGCCTCTCTGCTATTTCCAACTGGATGGCTGCTCATTTCCTCAAACTTCGGGTCTTTACTCCCTCACGTGTAACTACTCCTTTGCATTGTCCATCCAAGTCAATGGCGCTACCATCTGCTCTACCTCTAAGGCTCACTGCCTAGGTGTTCTCTTTTACTCCAACCTCTCCTTCAGCTCTCATGTCCAATCAATCACCAAATCCTGCCGCTTCCATCTCAAAAATATTGTGCACATCTGACCCTATTTAACACCAGATCTGGCAAAGGTGCTTGTCCATGCCGATGTCTTCTCTCTCTTTGACTACTGTAATCCGCTCCTCAGTGGTCTTATGTGTTCCCAACTTGCCCTGTAACAGTATATATTGAATGTGGCGGTGAGGCTCATCTTCCTTTCTACCCGCACCTCCCACTGCTCACCCCATTATCAGTCCCTACATTGGCTTTCCGTAAGATATAGAACTCAATTTAAGATCCTGATACTTGCTTACAAATCTATACACAATGCTGCCAAGGCCTACTTATCCTCACTATTACACAAATATCTCTCATCTACACTCTGCCAGAGACCTACGTCTAACCTCTGTTCAGGGGCGGACTGACCACTCGGGCACATCGGTCATGGACCGAGGGCCTGAGACAGTCAGGGGCCCGGCCACACAGCCATGCTCCAGCTGGAGAGACCAGAGATCTCTCCAACTGGAACGAAAAAATAATAAAATAAAACAATTTAATCGGTTGTGGGGCCCCTGATGGAGCGCAGGGCACCCAACCTACCGCTCTGCAAGTCAGCCCCCCCCCCCTCAAATGAGACCCGGCAGCTTCACCAGCTCTCTCTACCAGGTCTCCTTCCTGTCCCATGCGGCTCTGTGTGATGGGAGAGGCGGGGCTAGGAAGTGACCTCACTTCCTGTTTACTCCTCTCACACAGAGCCCGATCAGCGAGGTGAAGGAGCAGCAGCCTGGGAGACCAGAGGGAGCAGAGAGAAAGGTAGGCACTAATCACCCCCCCTCACTGTGTCACTAATCACCCCCCCCACTGTGTCACTAGTCACCCCCGTGTCACTAGTCACCCCTCGTGTCACTAGTCACCTTTGTGTCACTAGTCACTGTGTGTCACTAGTCACTAGTCACCCTGTGTCACTAGTCACCCCCGTCATCACTAGTCACGCCCCCACTGTGTCACTAGTCACCCCACCACTGCATCACTAGTCACCCCGTGTTACTAGTCACCCCCACTGTGTCACCCCCACTGTGTCACTAGTCACCCCCCGTGTCCCTAGTCACACCCCCACTGTGTAACTAGTCACCCCCTGTGTCACTAGTCTCCCCCCATGTCACTAGTCACCCCCCACTGTGTCACTAGTCACCCCCCTGTGTCACTAGTCACCCCCCACTGTGTCACTAGTCACCCCCCCCACTGTGTCACTAGTCACCCCCCACTGTGTCACTAGTCACCCCCCCCACTGTGTCACTAGTCACCCACCCACTAGTCACCCACTCACTCTAGTGACAGAGTGATGGAGGGGGTGACTAGTGACAGAGGGAGCTGGTGACTGGTGACAGAGTGAGGGAGAGGATGACTAGTGACAGAGTTAAGGAGGGAGTGACTAGTGACAGAGTGATGGGGTGACTAGTGACAGAGTGCGGGAGTGGGTGACTAGTGACAGAGTGAGTGGGTGACTAGTGACAGAGTTAGGGAGGGAGTGACTAGTGACAGAGGGAGGGATGGGGTGACTAGTGACAGTCACCACCTCCCTCACTCTGTCACTAGTTACCATCTCACTCACTCTGTCACCCCCTCCCTCTGTTACTAGTCACCCCCTCCCTCATTCTGTCACCAGTTACCCCCTCCCTCACTAGTCACCCCTCTCTGTCACAAGTCACCCCTCCCTCACTCTGTCACTAGTCACCCATTCCCTCCCTCTGTCACTAGTCACCCCCTCTCCCTCCCTCTGTCATTAGTCACCCACACCCTCACTCTGTCACCAGTCACCCCCCCTCACTGTGTCTCCCCCTCACTCTGCCACCACTCAACCCCTCCCTCCCTCACTCTGCCACCAGGTACCCCCTCACTCTGCCACCTGTCACAACCTCCCACACTCTTCCACCTGTCACCCTCTCCCTCACTCTCTGTCACCTGTCACATATGCATTCACACTGACACTATATACAAAAAAGCACATGTAGTCATCCAGACATGCACAAGTGCATTCATACAGACTCAAATACAAAAATGCATTGATAAACAGGTCTTTACAATATACACATCCAAAGGAATGCCATATTATGAGAGTTATATTTAACATGTATTTAATGCACATATATTTGGCCTTCAAAGGGCCTGGGATCTAATTTTGCCCGGGGGCCCCAAAGGCTCTCAGTCCGCCCCTGCCTCTATTCATACTCCTACCTCTGATCCTTAAAGACTTCTCTAGGGCTGCACCGTTACTATGGAACGCCCTTCCTCTCTGTGTTAGACTTTCACTCAATCTCCAGTCCTTCAAAAAAATCTTTGAAAACGTACTTCTTTAGGAAAGCATATCAATTAAACTGTGAACAGCTTTCCTTCCCCGCACCCTGATTCCTCCCCTGAAACTGTCATCAAAACAAAACACTAAGCCTTTAATGAACACTATCCTTGCAACATACTTTTCTATCCTACCCTTACCTTTTGCGTCACATTAACCCACTTAATCTAGCATGTAAACTCATTGAGCAGGGCCCCCAATGTCTCTGTTCCTGTGTGTCCACTCGTCTGGTTACAAATACTTGTCTGTTAGTCCACCCATTGTACTGCACTACGGAACTTGTTGGCGCTTTACAAATAATGATAATAAGAATAATAATTAAGAGAGCTGCTGTCTTGACAGTTTGTGCTGGAGGATCTTTTTTTTTTTTTTTGCAGGAACTGTGTCACACTGTAATCACATATTTGGAATTTAACCTGCTCTGGTTAAAATTATTTTTTAAATTGCACTCATTTAGCTCACCTACATGTGACATGACCTCAAATTAGTTGTGATTTCCTGCCACAATGCTCCTGTGTAATTGCAATTTAATCTGTCATTAGCTCAAGTGATAGTCAAAAGATTGCACTAACTACTGATTACAAAGTCACCTGATTTCTCTCCAGCCAAAATATTTGATCTTGCAATTCTCCCTGTCACAGGTGCCATATTACTGGGCCCTATTTAACTTTTCACTGCAGAGAGCCCCAGATTGATGGATTTCCCATGTAAGTGGGTTAATCTCTAAGAGTAGGCATTAGATTGCTAGAATAAGACCAGCCAAAAAAGGGTGTACATTGGACATGGTACATGGAGCAATTGCAGGCTTATGCAATGTATAAGTATATAGTAAAAATGAATCTTCATTATATTGGCCTAAGTGAGGGATTTAAAAATACAAATAAGTCTTCCATAAAATATGGGTTCTGTGACTCTTGGAGTTCCTGATCTAAAATTAAGGTGGGCTGGTGTCAGCAATGACATGTGGACCCCTCCACCTACCCTTGACACTTACTGTTTCCCCCTCTTTTCTTTCTTCTTTTTTTAATTTCACCCTGTCTCTCTTCCTCATTTACTTCCTCTCTCTTTCACCAACTATTTACATCACACACTTGATCACAAAGTTTACTAGTTCTTTATGGTTTTATCCTTCTATTGCTTATACATAATTTATACTCATCCACTGTCCAATTTCCTATATGTGATTGGAATCATAAAGTTATTTTTCTTGCTATGACTTTGACATGCTTTGATCATGGCCTGCACAAGAGCTCTACTGTTTGCTTATAACTAAATACTCCAAATATAAAAGAGCTTCTTCACAGCTGCAAATTCTGTACTAAGTCACCTTATATCACCAACAACATTCATCTCACCTTCCCCAATGGTGGAATAAAACATCCTGGTTACGATGGAGCCTACTGCTATAATACCAAGTACAGTTGCAGTGTTCTTCTGTCTCAGTTATGCAGTTATTGTTTTATATCTTGTATTTTTCTTGTTATTTATGATGTTATATGTTTATATTTTTCCAATTTTAAATCAAGTGATGTTATCTTGCACCTTGTGTATAATTAAAGGATCACTATAGTATCAGGAACACAAACAAGTATTCCTGACCCTATAGTGTTAAAACCACCATCTAGCCCCCCTGAGCACCTCATGCCTCCATAAATATAGCAAAATTTTACCGTATTCAAGCCTGAAGCTGTAACTCTGCATGCTGTTAGACTCAGAAAAACAAGCAATCTGCTGATATCATTAGAAGTGATAGCCTGATCCAATCACAGTGCTTCCCCATAGGATTGGCTGAGACTGACAAAGAGGCAGATCAGGGGCAGAGTCAGCATGATTCAAACACAGCCCTGGCCAATCAGCATCTCCTCATAGAGATGAATTGAATCAATGAATCTCTATGAAGAAAGTTCAGTATCTGCATGCAGAGGGAGGAGACACTGAATGTTTGGATGCATTTTAAGCAGCCATGACCCAGGAAGCATCTCTAACAGCCATCTGAGGAGTGGCCAGGGAAGTTATCACTAGGCTGTAATGTAAACACTGCATGTTCTCTGGAAAGACAGTGTTTACAGCAAAAAGCCTGAAGGTAATGATTTTATTCACCAGAACAAATTCAATAAGTTGTAGTTGTTCTGGTGACTATAGCCTCCCTTTAGGTTTTCTCATAGGTAAAATGCTACATTTAAATTGTATTGCACATTTCTTTGTCAAACCTTTAACCCCTCCAGGACCCCTTCAGGACAGAGTCAATACACGTTCTGATCAAAACAAAACGTAAACAAAAACTGGAATTTGCGCTATATGTCTGTTCAACCGTAATTCACCGCTGTCACATTAAGTGCACCCACACGTATTATATATAATTTTGTTCAGGAGAAACAGGGCTTTAATTTATCATTAACTATTCATATATGGAACACAATTTATTATGAATAAAATTTTAAAAAATGTGAGAAAATAAGATTTTTGTTTTTACACTTGTATTTCCGTCTGACATTTTAGCTGTTAATGTCATAATACTGTTAGGTTTTACTGCAAAAAAATGCACATATTTGTAATCAGCAATGTCTCACAAGTACAACAGTAGCCCCCATTAACAGATTTTATGGTGTTTTGGAAAGTTACAGGGTCAAATATAGAACGTTCCATTTTCAAATAAAAATTTGCCAGATTAGTAATGTTACCTTTGAGACGGTGTGGTAGCCCAGGAATGAAAATGACCCTCATAATGGCATACCATTTGAAAAAGTAGACAACCCAAGGTATTGAAAGCGGGGTATGTTTAGTCTTTTTTAGTAGCCACTTAGTCACAAACACTGGCCAAAGTTAGCGTTCATATTTGTTTTTGTGTGAAAAAAGCAAAAAACTAATATTTGGCCAGTGTTTGTGACTAAGTGGCTACTAAGAAAGACTGGACATACCCCACTTGCAATACCTTGGGTTGTCTACTTTTGCAAATAGTATGCCATCATGGGGGTAATTCTCATTCCTGGGCTACCATACACTCTCAAAGGCAACATAACCAATCTGGCAAATTTCAATGTAAAAAATGAAATGCAAGCCTTATATGTGACTCTCTAACTTTCCAAAACACCATAAAACCTGTACATGGGGGGTACTGTTATTCTCAGAAACCTGTACTTGGGGGTACTGTTATTCTCAGGAGACTTTACTAAACACAAATATTAGTGTTTTAAAACAGTAAAACATATTACAACAATAATATAGTGCATAAAAGTGCCGTTCGTTTGTAAAAAAATGCAAAAAATTTAACTTTTACTTAAAATATCATCATTGTAATACAATTTATCATTTTGAAACACTAATATTTGAGTTCAGCGAAGTCTCCCGAGTAAAACAGTACCCCCTATGTACAGGTTTTATGGTGTCTTGGAGAGTTACAGGGTCAAATATAGTGCTTGCGAATTAAATTCTCTGCACTTTCTCCCTGTGTTGTCAGGCATGTCAATCAAATTTTAATTAATCAAATCACATAATTATGTTAAAAGATTACTTAAATATACACATAGAATTTTAATATATATGCATTTATAGGTATTTAAATTCTGCGTGTATACTAATGTAATCTTTTATGTAATTATATGTATTTATCTATATATATATATATAGTTACAGTTATTTATATTTTATATATAGATATATATATATATAGAATGTCATTCTAAGTGTATTTTGTTACACACACATATATATATATATATATATATATATATATTAATAACAAAATACAGTTGGAATGAAATTACATATGAATATATAATTTATATTAAATTTTGTTTCAATATTTTATTATTTTATTTATTTATTATTGTAAATATACATATATAAATATAATATAGGTGTATATATCTATTATATATACAATATATATACATATATGTAACGTCATTTTAAGTGTATTTTAATGCTAATATATGTACTTATATTAATATTAAAATACACTTTGTATGATGTTATATATATATATATATTATGTATATATATTATATATATAATAGATATACATATATTATATATATAAAAATAAAGTTATTTTATTTTAAACATGTTTTTTTTTTAACTTTCCCACCAGCAGGGGGACTGTCTGACATTTTAGACAGTCCCCCTGCTGGCAGATCCACAGCCAGCTATAGGGGGCCATGTGATCGCTCTTTGAGAGCGATCACATGGCCCCCGGGGGCCTCATTTGCCGGGGGAGGCCTGCTTGGGCTGTCAGGCAGCCCTCTAGAAGAGAATCGCGGTGGAGGTAAGTCCACCGGACCTCCAGGGGCTGTAAGCCGTTACGGTGTTCTATGCCACCGCAATGGCTTTAAAGCCCTTTTAATGTGGGACGGCATAGAACGCCGTAACGGCGTTAA